CTGCGCCATGTTAAATCCAATAGAAAAATTCTGCTCTGAATTACACTGTTGTAAATGACAGGTTTCAGAGTAACAGCCATGTTAGTCTGTATTCGCAAAAAGAAAAGGAGTACTTGTGGCACCTTAGAGACTAATCAATTTATTTGAGCATAAGCTTTCGTGAGCTACAGCTCACTTCATCAGATGCATCATCATCCGATGAAGTGAGCTGTAGCTCACGAAAGCTTATGCTCAAATAAATTGGTTAGTCTCTAAGGTGCCACAAGTACTCCTTTTCTTTTTACTGTTGTAAATCTAGTGTATAGCCCCATTAAAGCCACTGGCTAAGAGCAACCATTTTAGTGGAGTTACGCCATTACAAATGAGAACAGAATATGGCCCAAGCTCTGTAATTATATAGTTTAAAAGTAACACAATTAAAAAGTACAGTGATACCCGCTATTATCAGTCTATTGTGTAACCCTTCTGTCCAGGGGGGGATTCCAAATGTTTGACTTCTACTAAACTTCACTTTATTATTTGTCTTACAGTAGCACTAGAGGTGTCATCTGAGATCCAGGCCCCCATTGTGCTGGGTGCTGTACACAAACATTGTAAGAGACAGTCTCTGCCCTGAAGAGCCTACAATTTAAATAGACAAGAGGGACAACAGGGTGGAAGAAATGAAGTATTATCATCCGCATTAACAGATGGGAAACAGAGACAGAGATTAAGGGCTGGTTTACACTTAAAACTGCTATGGTGGCATGGCTGCGCTTCTGTAGTGCTTCAGTGTAGACAGTACCTGCGCTGACGGAAGGGATTCTCCTGTTATATATGTAACCCACACACCTCCTGGGTGTGGTGTTCTGTCCCATCTAGTGGCACTGAGACCAGTTAGAGAGGGAGATTGTGTCTGCTCTACAGCCTTAGCTAACAGCCAGTTGACTTTTACCTCATGCAGTAGAGGTTCATGCACTAAGCTTTATAGGCCCCAGGTTCGATCCTACCTGCCCACAACTGTCTTATTATCTATCCCTTTCTTAATGATGCCCAACATTCTCTTCGCTTTTTTTGACTGCCGCTGCACATTGAGTGGATGTTTTCAGAGAACTCTCCACAATGACCGCAAGATCTTTCTTGAGTGGTAATAGCTGATCTAGACCCCATCGTTTTATCTGTATAGTTGGGATTATGTTTTTCAATGTGCATTATTTTGCATTTATCAACATTGAATTTCATCTGACATTTTGTTGCCCAATCACCCAGGTTTGAGAGATCCTTTTGTAGCTCTTCGCAGTTTGCCTGGACCATAACTATCTTGAGTAGTTTTGTATCAGCTGCAAATTTTGCCACTTCATCGTTTACCCCTTTTTCCAGATAATTTATTAATATGTTAAATAGGAATGGGCCCAGTACAGACCCTGGGGGACACACTATTTACCTCTCTCCATTTGAAACAGGTATCACGCGGATGTATGCGTAGTGTGTTTAAATATTCGCAAGGCATCTGCTAAGTTCTTGCATTTCACTTGTTTGTGTCTGACTAAAGAAGAAATTATTCATATTTGATTTAATCATTCCACGTGTGATTGTAAACCCAGAGGAACTTTAGTATTCCTTATATATAGGTATAGTAGAAAGAGATAGGGTTGCCAATTTTATACTTGCACAAATCTGAACACCCTTGCCCCTTCTCCAGGGTCCTGCCCCTGCTTGCTCCATCCCCCCTCCCTCTGTCGCTTGCTCGCCCACCCTCACTCACTCATTTTCACCAGGCTGGCTCAGGGGGTTGGAGGGCTTGGACTGGGGAGTGCGGGCTCTGGGGTGGGGCTAGGGATGAGGGATTTGGGGTGCAGGAGGGTGCTCCAGGCTGGGACTGAGGGATTTGGAGGGCGGGAGGGGGATCAGGGCTGGGACATGGGGTTGGGGCGCAGGGGTGTGTGTGAGAAGGCTTTGGTTGGGGGTGCAGGCTCTGGGGTGGGGATGGGTATGAGGGGTTTGGGGTGTGGGAGAGGGCTCCAGGCTAGGATAGGGGTTTGGGGTTCAGGGAGGGGTTCTGGGTGGGTCCAGAAATTAGGGGTTCAGGATGCAGGAGAGGGCTCCAGGCTGGGGATTGGTATGCGGGGGGGTGGGGGGGAGTGCATACTCTGGGGTGGGGCTGGGGATGAGGGATTTGGGTTGCGGGAGGGAGTGCTGGGCTGGGGCAGATGGTTGGGGGTGTGTGGGTGGAGGAGTGCAGGCTCTGGGAAGGAGTTTGGGTGCAGGAGGGGACTCTGGGCTGAGGCAGGGGGTTGGAGTACGGGAGGGGATTTGGGGGTGCGGGGTCCCAGTGGCGCTTACCACAGCTCCCAGAAAGTGGCCTCCAGGTCCCTGCAGCCCCTAGGCGCGGGGGCAGTTCCCAGCCAATGGGAGCTGCAGCGTCGGCACTCAGGGCGTGGGCAGCGCATGGATCCTCCCTGGCTGCCCATGCTCCGAGGGGCCGCAGGGACCTGGCAGCTGCTTCCAAGACCCATGGAGAGCCAGGGCAGGCAGGGAGCCTGCCTTAGCCCCAGGTCTCCACTGTGCCACCAACTGGACTTTTAACAACCTGGTTGCTGGTGCTGATCGGAGCCGCCAGTGTCCCTTTTCGACCGGGCATTCCTCTGGAAAACCGGACGCCTGGCAACCCTAGTTCCAGCTCCCTCCCACGTTCTCTCTGGCCTTATCCTCACTACTAAAAAGTTGTGTTTTTACCTCAAACTAACGAACATGCCTGAGCTATTCTGAAGTAAAAATACAGAGCAGACCAGGCACTGTAGCTTTACTGCGAGGTAACTAGGTGATGTGAGTCACAAATACTGCTGGCTGCACCCTATAGTTACTTCACAGTAAACCTAAAGTGTCTTGTTTTTACCTCAGAAGCGCTGCCCTGTGTTAGCTACCCACCACATAAAAAACACACATTTTTAGTTGTGAAGACAAGGCTAGTGATGGGAAGGGTTTCTTACATAGCGTCTCTCTCTCTCTCTCTCTCTCTCTGCACTGTCCCATTCTGCTTAGAGGGTCATTCCCACAAAAAGATAAAAGGGCCTGATTTTCAGAAGTGTCAGTTGAAGTCAGTGGGACCTGTAGGCCTTGATGCTGCACTGCATTGCACCTTGTGTTTCTATTTACCTTTGTACCAAGTCAATGTAAAATGTTACCCAATCCAAATGGTATTTGGCAGTCGTGGTAGCAAGCCCAAAAGACTAAACCCAATTGTATTATGAAGCTCTGCACTAATCTGCTGTGGGTGGCATGTCATCAATAGATTGGCTTTAAAATCATGGGATTTATCCACAGCCACTAGGGCTAGAAACTTAATTTTTCTTTAAGAATGAAGGCTGAAATCATAACATATCCACTTGACTCCAGGAGCTGGGGCTTTAAGGAAAACATTAATTATCGTGAGCCTCATGATAATATCACTAGAGTTGGCAACACTGTTTCATTTTGGGATGAAAAGCAGTCAGAGGTTTGGCGAATACCGCCGCGCCTGCATCCCCATTTCAACTCTTATTCTATTCCTAAGAACAGGGGTTTGCCCTGCTGCGCTCGGCCAAAATATCCCTCCCCACAGACATGGGCTGAGCTCAGTTTAATAGGAATGAGACAGAGGGGAAAAGCACAAACAAACTGAGAAGGAAAAACGTCTCCATGGGAGGAAATAAGTGTGAAAAACTGATTGTGGCAGAGAGAACCTGATTAACATGCTGACGAGATCTTCTAAAAATGCAGCATGAAGGAGAGTGAAGAAAAGACATATTAACCCATAGGCCAATGGCCAGTCCCGTGTTCTTTATTACTCTGAGGCGAGGTCTTCCAGATGGGCTGCCGTGGCAGGCACCAGGCAGGGTTTTAGCATGCTGGGAAGCAGGGTAGGTTGGGCCCCATTGCACCTTTCCCCTGTTGAGAATCCTTTTGTACAATAACCTGTGCTCCCAGTGCGACCCACTTTACCTCATACCATGAGATAAATGTGAGCCTCATTTTACACCCAGTCCTGGTGTATATCTCCTGTCATAAATATAAAGGGAAGGGTAACCACCTTTCTGTATACAGTGCTATAAAATCCTTCCTGGCCAGAGGCAACATCCTGTTACCTGTAAAGGGTTAAGAAGCTCAGCTAACCTGGCTGGCATTTGACCCAAAGGACCAATAAAGGAACAAGACACTTTCAAATCTTGAAAAAAGAAAAGGAGTACTTGTAGCACCTTAGAGACTAACCAATTTATTTGAGCATGAGCTTTCGTGAGCCACAGCTCACTTCATCAGATGTATACCGTGGAAACTGCAGCAGACTTTATATATACATAGAGAATATGAAACAATACCTCCTTCCACCCCACTGTCCTGCTGGTAATAGCTTATCTAAAGTGATCATCAGGTGGGCCATTTCCAGCACAAATCCAGGTTTCTTCACCCTCCACCCCCCCACACAAATTCACTCTCCTGCTGGTGCTAGCCCATCCAAAGTGACAACTCTTTACATAATCAAGTCGGGCTATTTCCTGCACCAATCCAGGTTTTCTCACATCCCCCCCACCCCCATACACACACAAACTCACTCTCCTGCTGGTAATAGCTCATCTAAACTGACCACTCTCCAAGTTTAAATCCAAGTTAAACCAGAACATCTCGGGGGGGGTAGGAAAAAACAAGAGGAAACAGGCTACCTTGCATAATGACTTAGCCACTCCCAGTCTCTATTTAAGCCTAAATTAATAGTATCCAATTTGCAAATGAATTCCAATTCAGCAGTTTCTCGCTGGAGTCTGGATTTGAAGTTTTTTTGTTTTAAGATAGCGACCTTCATGTCTGTGATTGCGTGACCAGAGAGATTGAAGTGTTCTCCGACTGGTTTATGAATGTTATAATTCTTGACATCTGATTTGTGTCCATTTATTCTTTTACGTAGAGACTGTCCAGTTTGACCAATGTACATGGCAGAGGGGCATTGCTGGCACATGATGGCATATATCACATTGGTGGATGTGCAGGTGAACGAGCCTCTGATAGTGTGGCTGATGTTATTAGGCCCTGTGATGGTGACAAAGGAGGTGCTGTTGTCATCATGAATAGGTCGGAATATGAACAAGAGGCTGCTCGGCAGCTCTCCAACACGAGTTTCTACAAGCCATTACCCTATGATCCCACTGAGAGTTACCAAAAGCAACTACAGCATTTGCTCAAGACACGTCCTGAAAAAGCACAAGATCAAATCCGCACAGACACACCCCTGGAACCCCGACCTGGGATATTCTATCTACTACCCAAGATCCATAAACCTGGAAATCCTGGGCGCCCCATCATCTCAGGCATTGGCACCCTGACAGCAGGATTGTCTGGCTATGTAGACTCCCTCCTCAGGCCCTACGCTACCAGCACTCCCAGCTACCTTCGAGACACCACTGACTTCCTGAGGAAACTTCAATCCATCGGTGATCTTCCTGATAACACCATCCTGGCTACTATGGATGTAGAAGCCCTCTACACCAACATTCCACACAAAGATGGACTACAAGCCGTCAAGAACACTATCCCCGATAATGTCACGGCTAACCTGGTTGCTGAACTTTGTGACTTTGTCCTTACCCATAACTATTTCACATTTGGGGACAATGTATACCTTCAGATCAGCGGCACTGCTATGGGTACCCGCATGGCCCCACAGTATGCCAACATTTTTATGGCTGATTTAGAACAACGCTTCCTCAGCTCTCGTCCCCTAAAGCCCCTACTCTACTTGCGCTATATTGATGACATCTTCATCATCTGGACCCATGGAAAAGAAGCTCTTGAGGAATTCCACCATGATTTCAACAATTTCCATCCCACCACCAACCTCAGCCTGGTCCAGTCCACACAAGAGATCCACTTCCTGGACACTACAGTGCTAATAAACAATGGTCACATAAACACCACCCTATACCGGAAACCTACTGACTGCTATTCCTACCTGCATGCCTCCAGCTTTCACCCTGACCACACCACACGATCCATCGTCTACAGCCAAGCTCTGCAATACAACCGCATTTGCTCCAACCCCTCAGACAGAGACAAACACCTACAAGATCTCTGTCAAACTTTCTTACAACTACAATACCCACCTGCAGAAGTAAAGAAACAGATTGATAGAGCCAGAAGAGTTCCCAGAAGTTACCTACTACAGGACAGGCCTAACAAAGAAAATACAGAACGCCACTAGCGGTCACCTTCAGCCCCCAACTAAAACCCCTCCAACGCATTATTAAGGATCTACAACCTATCCTAAAGGATGACCCAACACTCTCACAAGTCTTGGGAGACAGGCCAGTCCTTGCCTACAGACAGCCCCGCAACCTGAAGCAAATACTCACCAACAACCACATACCACACAACAGAACCACTAACCCAGGAACTTATCCTTGCAACAAAGCCCGTTGCCAGTTGTGCCCACATATCTATTCAGGGGACACCATCACAGGGCCTAATAACATCAGCCACACTATCAGAGGCTCGTTCACCTGCACATCCACCAATGTGATATATGCCATCATGTGCCAGCAATGCCCCTCTGCCATGTACATTGGTCAAACTGGACAGTCTCTACGTAAAAGAATAAATGGGGATATTTTGGGGGAAGACGTCTCCAAGTGGTCTCTTTCCCTGTTCTTTGTTTAAAATGCTTGGTAGTGGCAGCATACTGTTCAAGGCCAAGCAAAGTTTGTACCTTGGGGAAGTTTTTAACCTAAGCTGGTAAGAATAAGCTTGGGGGGGGGTCTTTCATGCGGGTCCCCACATCTGTACCCTAGAGTTCAGAGTGGGGAAGGAACATCTCTATTAACTAAAACAGGACAATGCCAATTTACTCCAGCTGGAGAACTGGCTGATTGTGTCTCACCAGAGGCCAGTGCTGTCTCATTCCCGCCATGGTGCAGGATACATAAGAACAGCCATACTGGATCAGACCAAAGGTCCATCTAGCCCAGTATCCTGCCTTCTGACAGTGGCTAGTGCCAGGTGCCCCAGAGGGAACGAACAGAACAGGTAATCACCAAGAGATCCATCCCCTGTTGCCCATTCCCAGCTTCTGGCAAATAACACATAACTATCCATAATTATGGCTAACCCATAAAAGGGTTCTTCCAACACAAATGATTTTATGAGAGGTCAAAGATGGTGCCTGAGTCCATTTGTCCACTAATTGATGTCTTTACCCTCAGATTCAAATAACATTACAACTCAGGAATTGTGGTTGTCAATTTTTTTATTTATTTATTTTCCTGTTGCTTCTCTGCTGTGATACAGTAGTTAAAAACAAGATCAGCTTTGCTTCAGGCATGTACCATGTTTATTAACAGCAAAAACGTATTATCTAGGGTAAGCTCAAGAGCAATTTACAGGATAAATAAGTGTTTCAAGTTATTCTTTTTTTAGAAAAAAAACCATGAATAAATTAATAACTTAAGTGATTAGTTGTTCACAGTGATTTGAAAAATTAATAACCACCTCAAACAGCGACACCACAAGAAGACACAGACTGTACATTTTGCTACTGATTTTTTTTGTCCTTTCTGACTTCTACAAATGGAAAAAAATACCCCACAATCCTGTTTAAAAACAGTCATACACTTTGGAACACACAAAATATCACCGAGAATACGCTGCAGATTCAACAACTTCAAAGCTGCCAGTCATACATGCCTCACAGCAGTTAAAAAAGCTATCCTAACATAAATGGGTCCAGCCTAATTACTACTGAAGTTAATGAGAGTCTGTTGAATTCAGTGGAAATTGGATTGGGCCTTACTGATTATTCAAAGGATCTGATCCTGAATCTACTGAAGTCAATGGCAGAACTCCCATTGAGTCCAATGGATGCAGGATCAAGTCCCTAGTTACATTCCCTGTATTCATTGCTCTCCAGCTAGGAGCTCTTAATTGCTCATTAAAGTGGCAGATGTTTTTTTGAATGATATCATAGCAGAGCTTCAAAACTGTGTAAAAAACCTTCTCCCATCACCTTTCTTCACCTGCACAATTTAGGATTAAGAAAAGGAGTACTTGTGGCACCTTAGAGACTAACCAATTTATTTGAGCATGAGCTTTCGTGAGCTACAGCTCACTTCATCAGATGTTTACCGTGGAAACTGCAGCAGACTTTATATACACACAGAGATCATGAAACAATACCTCCTCCCACCCCACTGTCCTGCTGGTAATAGCTTATCTAAAGTGATCAACAGGTGGGCCATTTCCAGCACAAATCCAGGTTTTCTCACCCTCCACCCCCCCACACAAATTCACTCTCCTGCTGGTGCTAGCCCATCCAAAGTGACAACTCTTTACATAATCAAGTCGGGCTATTTCCTGCATAGATCAAGGTTTTCTCACATCCCCCCCACCCCCATACACACACACAAACTCACTCTCCTGCTGGTAATAGCTCATCTAAACTGACCACTCTCCAGGTTTAAATCCAAGTTAAACCAGAACATCTGGGGGGGGGGGGTAGGAAAAAACAAGAGGAAACAGGCTACCTTGTATAATGACTTAGCCACTCCCAGTCTCTATTTAAGCCTAAATTAATAGTATCCAATTTGCAAATGAATTCCAATTCAGCAGTTTCTCGCTGGAGTCTGGATTTGAAGTTTTTTTGTTTTAAGATAGCGACCTTCATGTCTGTGATTGCGTGACCAGAGAGATTGAAGTGTTCTCCGACTGGTTTATGAATGTTATAATTCTTGACATCTGATTTGTGTCCATTTATTCTTTTACGTAGAGACTGTCCCGTTTGACCAATGTACATGGCAGAGGGGCATTGCTGGCACATGATGGCATATATCACATTGGTGGATGTGCAGGTGAACGAGCCTCTGATAGTGTGGCTGATGTTATTAGGCCCTGTGATGGTGTCCCCTGAATAGATATGTGGGCACAATTGGCAACGGGCTTTGTTGCAAGGATAAGTTCCTGGGTTAGTGGTTCTGTTGTGTGGTATGTGGTTGTTGGTGAGTATTTGCTTCAGGTTGCGGGGCTGTCTGTAGGCAAGGACTGGCCTGTTTGTCTCTGTCTGAGGGGTTGTCTGAGGGGTACTCTTGCTCCAACCCCTCAGACAGAGACAAACACCTACAAGATCTCTGTCAAGCTTTCTTACAACTACAATACCCACCTGCAGAAGTAAAGAAACAGATTGATAGAGCCAGAAGAGTTCCCAGAAGTTACCTACTACAGGACAGGCCTAACAAAGAAAATAACAGAACGCCACTAGCGGTCACCTTCAGCCCCCAACTAAAACCCCTCCAACGCATTATTAAGGATCTACAACCTATCCTAAAGGATGACCCAACACTCTCACAAGTCTTGGGAGACAGGCCAGTCCTTGCCTACAGACAGCCCCGCAACCTGAAGCAAATACTCACCAACAACCACATACCACACAACAGAACCACTAACCCAGGAACTTATCCTTGCAACAAAGCCCGTTGCCAATTGTGCCCACATATCTATTCAGGGGACACCATCACAGGGCCTAATAACATCAGCCACACTATCAGAGGCTCGTTCACCTGCACATCCACCAATGTGATATATGCCATCATGTGCCAGCAATGCCCCTCTGCCATGTACATTGGTCAAACGGGACAGTCTCTACGTAAAAGAATAAATGGACACAAATCAGATGTCAAGAATTATAACATTCATAAACCAGTCGGAGAACACTTCAATCTCTCTGGTCACGCAATCACAGACATGAAGGTCGCTATCTTAAAACAAAAAAACTTCAAATCCAGACTCCAGCGAGAAACTGCTGAATTGGAATTCATTTGCAAATTGGATACTATTAATTTAGGCTTAAATAGAGACTGGGAGTGGCTAAGTCATTATACAAGGTAGCCTGTTTCCTCTTGTTTTTTCCTACCCCCCCCCCCCAGATGTTCTGGTTTAACTTGGATTTAAACCTGGAGAGTGGTCAGTTTAGATGAGCTATTACCAGCAGGAGAGTGAGTTTGTGTGTGTGTATGGGGGTGGGGGGGATGTGAGAAAACCTTGATCTATGCAGGAAATAGCCCGACTTGATTATGTAAAGAGTTGTCACTTTGGATGGGCTAGCACCAGCAGGAGAGTGAATTTGTGTGGGGGGGTGGAGGGTGAGAAAACCTGGATTTGTGCTGGAAATGGCCCACCTGTTGATCACTTTAGATAAGCTATTACCAGCAGGACAGTGGGGTGGGAGGAGGTATTGTTTCATGATCTCTGTGTGTATATAAAGTCTGCTGCAGTTTCCATGGTAAACATCTGATGAAGTGAGCTGTAGCTCACGAAAGCTCATGCTCAAATAAATTGGTTAGTCTCTAAGGTGCCACAAGTACTCCTTTTCTTTTTGCGAATACAGACTAACACGGCTGTTCCTCTGAAACCTGTCAATTTAGGATTAGCGCTTCTAACGGGTTTTATCCAGTAGGACATCCTGGTTCCAGGATGGCATTGTGACATTTGGTGTCATAACACTAAGGTGCAGCATCATCATGTAGTGATCCAGTAATGTACAGACGACTGACAGCACTTTGCATCTCCTGACATTAACTAATTAACCCTCACAACACCCTTGTGAGATAGAGAAATGCATACTAGTATCCTCATTTTACAAATGGGAAAGTAAATGAGATCCAGGGAGGATAAGTGACACTCATCCAAAGCCACAGAGGGAGTCAGCAGAAGAGCTGGGCTGAGAATTCATGACTTGTCTTAGTGCCCAGTCTTGTGATCAGCCCTCTAGAGTTGCGGCCCATGTGACATCCTGGGGGACATATAAGTAGTATTGGATGCGGCCCACATAACACATTCTGGGCCGCATATGTGGCTCACAATGGTAAATAGGTTGAGAACCACTTCTCTTGAGTGTAGCCCACACTCCAATTTGTTTATGCATCACTACCGTCTAATGAGTGGCCATACAGAATAGAAAAGCCCTTCTACCACTTGTGAGTTGACAGAAAATCTAATTTTGCTCAAATGATAGAGCTGACAGTCCTGGGTTCTATCTGTTTGTGTTGCAACTGGTGACCCTGCCGTCTATATGCACAGGGGAATAAATGTTACGATGGGGTGACGTTGGGCTGGCTTGGGAAATATCTCATGACGCTTTGGCAGCCCTACAAGCCTTAACATCGGGTCTTTCCCATGGGAACCAGCGCTGTGGTGACCTTATCAACAATACAGCCCAAAGAACTGTAGAGATGGACAAGAGGACAGGAGACAGAGGACAGACCAACAGAGGGACGGATGCCACCGACATGGCCATGGAAGAAATGATTTAATAAAACTACAGCTGTCAAGCTGCAGGAATATCATTAACAGTCATAATATCAGTGCATAAATAAGAGCATCTTAGTGCTTTTCGGCTGTGATCTGAAGTACTTGAACTGAAATAGCGCAGGAGAGCACTGAAAGGAAAAACTGCAGTGGAATTAAGGAAGTGGTTGATACAGGGACAGCAACTTGGGACCTTCAGTCTTCACATTTACAAACTCAAATTTACTTAGTCCCTATGACTTGAGGGAGGGTAGGTCAGAATTCTCTCCACTCACAGCTATGGCTACCATTCAGCATTGGTCCTCTTTCATACATGTTACACTGAGGAAACCTAATAAGGTACTGTACAGATGCCAGTGCTGACTTCGGGCTGATTCTAAACAGAGCTCATATACACATATATTTAGTGGGGAATCTCCACTCCTTTCTGTCTCTTGGGAGCTCCTTAAAACAAAGCACTGCGGCTTGATTGTGAGGTACATTAGTAGAAGCCTTATTGATCATGTTAGCATTGCATGGGCAGTCACACTGCAGAGACTAGAGTCCTGTCCAGCATGCACCTGGTTCTGTATAAAACCAGGGTAGGATTTACTGGGGGCCAACATTTTATTTGGTTGTTCCAAAGGCCTGGCCAGGAATGTAGCTGGGATCTTTGCAGGACACTACCGTCTCTGCCCTCTTTCAGGGTAATCCAGTCCACGTCCCCCGTGGAGCTGCACAATTTATCAGCCAAAAGTAACCACTGCAATAGGGAAGTAAAACTCACAACACCTGGGTCTGAACTTCATGCTTTTAGCAGATTAGCTACATCATAAGATGGGATACAATGAGTGTAACACCATTGAATCAACGTGTGAATTCCGCCTCTGCAGAAGCCAGCCTGTTCTCTTGCGCCTGGGGCAGAAGGCATGCTCTAGAGATTTGGGAGATTTCTCTGGCTTCTTTTAAAGCACCAAAAACCCTTCACAGCAAGAGACACTAACTAACACCTGTCTCTCACCATTTGGTTTCCATGTGCACTCAAAACTAGGGGAACCACCGGGTAACTGAACAGAGCTGCAGGGGGGTCATGAAATAACTGTGACCCCCACTTCCTGACATCACATCCCAAAGTTGCCCACTCACAACACGTCACCCAATAATGCAACGGGCAATCAATCAATAATAATAACAACGTGCACTTCCACAGCACCAGCTGCCTGTGCATCTCAGTGTACTTTACTGAGGCCCGTCCAGTCACCTTTCCCATTTTATGTGGCAGGCAATTGAAGCACAGCAAGAGTAAGGGTAAGTCTACACAGCAACAAATACGCCGCAGCATGGCTGCAGCTGGCCTGGGGCAGCTG